GTATTTCGTTAACACTTGCAAAATTTAAAACAGCACTCCTTTTTCTGCTTCCTGCAGAGTTACACAAATCCACGTACAGAAAAGGAAAGGAATAAAAGGGAGAAAAGTTTTGAGCCCCAAATTATTTTTAGATGGTTCTTAGTGAAAGTCTGTGTTGCAGTGCAGTATAATATGGTTTCAGATTTTTTTAAAAAAAGGCAAAAAAATGAAGAAGGTTGAGGAAGGAATGCTACTATACAGAGTTTTTGTTGGAACAGTGCCAAAGAAGAGAAGCCCCCTCCAGCTCTCTGGTTCAGATATTTAGTAGATCTAGCCAACAACATGTGGTTACTAGTGATTGTACTCACCTGTCTTCAGGCTACTCCTTTCTGTGAGGTGATCACTTGCTAGCACATACTTTTGTTTTTTTATTTTTCTTTCATTGTATATCTTTAGAAGGTGGGAAGATAAAGAATGGAAGTAGGCCTTCAGAAGTGATGGGTTAAGCAAGGGAATCCTCCGTTTTACAGGTCATTGCGCTATATTTTGCTAATTTGGAAGCAGCAAGAAAATGAAAGTATCTGAAGTTCAGCTGAATTGTTCTTTCTAAAGCTGGTCAGTAATCGCTAAAGTGTTAGAGACAGGTTCAAAGTGATCATGAAAGGTTAGATGTGAAGAGAATCCCGGTTTCTTCAAAGCAGTGGAGTGAAACGAGAGTGGGCTTGCTGGCTATGCATGTTTACAGTAGTCAAAGACCTGTTAATGACCTTCATGGCTGGCAGCTGATCAGAGTTTTGATGGAAGGAAATTTAAGCTCATTCTATGTGATCCTGTCTCCCTTGCCTTGGAGGATCCATGTTTGAGTGAGGCTGTTGTCTGAAAAGAGAGTTGTGCTTTCAAAATGTTTGAAAAACTTGAAGCAAAACTAAGAGGAGAAACTAATTAAAATTCTGGTAAAAGTTAAGTACTCTTTTCTTTTTTTTTCCATTCAGTTGGGTTATCTCTGACTTTCACTTTCCAACATCTTGTAAGTCTTTTTCCCTTCTAAAGAAAAAGAATGTCTTTTCTCTCTTTCCATAGATGTTACCTGAGTTGCAAGAAATACTGACTGCTTTTCCTTTGGGCTTGGGTGTTTCCCTTGCCAACATGCAATTCGTGCAGACCGCTCACTAAAACTAAACATACAGCAGAGAAGGTTATAGCAGGCTTGAGAAGTAAATGAAAGAGGAGGATCTGTGAAGAGGGAATAGGCTGAAGCTGAAATGGATCATTCCCAAAAGGGTCCAAGGCAACATTTCTTATGTTAGTATGATGGGTACCAAATGCACTTGCTAGCTCAGATCTTTAACTGGTTAACCCAAAGTGCTGTATCTAAACATCCCTAGTTTGGGGGAACATTATGTGATGTGGGCCAGTTTTTAATATGGAAGGCCTTTCCATATTCCATATGGAATCTGAGAAGCTTTTATATATATATATATATATGTATGAAAAATGCCTAGAAGAAATTAAATATCTGGGACACTGATTTAAACCATTGTCAAGGAATGTTACACAGTATACAGTATGATATTGCCCTTGAGAGATGCTCAAAGCACCGTGTGGTGTTTCAGAGAGTGGGAGATGAGCAGAAACCTCTCTGCAGGGAGGGGCTTATGGTCTTGCTGGTTCTGTAGCCTGTGGTGACAAAGCAGGAGAAGTCTCTGACCCTATGGCTGCCCAGGGTGGTGGTGTCAGGCATGGCAGCAGCTGAGGCCAGGGACTCGCAGTGTCTAATCCCATTGTCAGGCGAGCAGGCAGCCTGGTACCGGGGCTCCACTCACAAAGGGCACTCTTGTTCTTATGTTAATATACCCAGCTCTTTTTGTTGTGACAACTGATCTAACAAACAGTTCAGATCTCCAGAGGTGGAGCAATATCTCCCAGAAGCTTTTGCTTTTGTGTTGTATAAGGAATCTGTTTTTTGAGTAGCACATCATCTGTTTGCGTTTTGGTTTGTTTTTTGTTTATTTGCTTGTTTTTTACTTTGGCCCGGTTGCTTTTCTGAGATGGGATGATAATAATATGTGAAGTTTCTTATTGAGATTTCTTTCATGTGAGAGAACAATAAAAAACTGAGGTGGGGGGAGGAAGAATTAGGGGAGAAGCCTTGAACTTGCTGTTGTCATTGGGGCCAGATTTTCATCCATGGAGTCTGTCACCCTGCAAATACATATGAAATAGCATTGCTCTATTATCCTTGGTAGCCAGAGCCTAAAAATGCATGATTATACACCCTGAATGTTTATGGAAATGGATGATAGTAGAAGATTTCTGATGGCCTTATTCCTCAATTCTGAAGTGGCTGCCATCTATAAGGATATCTGTGCTATCTTGGGGCATAGACCTTATCTGATGTAATATTCAGAAGGAAAAAGGTACTTTTTTTCTTTCTTGGGATCTTTGGGATGACTTCCCCTGGGTTTGTTATTCCCTATAAGCTAACAAAATTGTTCTTATTGTCACCTCTTGTGCAAGTGGATTCCTCTTGAGAATCAAACTTATTTTTGCAAATTACCATACTTTACAGATTTCACTGAGGTATCTGCAGCTTTTTCTGCATAATAATAAAAAGCTGGCTGCTCTGGCAGCCCTCACCCCGGCTGTTATTAATACAAGTACTGAATTATATAACACCCCAGCATAGCGTATTTTTTTTTCTATCCAGGGGACACAGAGTCACAAAAAGCAGTGACTTATCCAGTTTCATGTACTGAGTCAGTATTGAAGCAGGCAGCAAAATACAAATCCTTATTTAAATCCTAAATTTAATAAACCACACATTTTTCCTGCAGGCAGTAATAGGAACCAGGAGCTGTGCTGTAACCATTAGACAATGCTCTGTCAATGGAACATCCAGATGCTGCTGTGGGAGGGGTGGCAGATTTCACATGGGATTATAAGGAGCAACATATGTAAGGAGCAGGAGATGCTCTCTTTTTATCTTAACATTTATGGCAGTTTGAGCATCCAGGCCAGGGGTACAAGCCTGTTTCCTGCTGGCCACTTTAGGTGTTTTGCCTCTGTTTTGTTTTGTGTGTGTAGAGAAATAGAGCATCGCTTTGGCTCCCCACAAGTCCCGGCTTCCTTCCAGCTTCCGCATCCTCCCCATCCAAATACGCAGCCACTGCAGTGTTTTAGACAAACTCTGCCTGTTTTAAACTCATCAGCCTAATCTTAGATGAGGGGTCAACTGGATGACCAGCTTTGCTTTAAGCTGAGTGTTTTGTTAACATCTAACTAACAAGCAAGACAAAAATCTTTGTTGCACTGTATCACGATAAATGGTACTGTGTGCTAATGTGCTGAGAAGGGAGGTAATGCTGGTATGAGGGGAGCCAGCCTCAGCCTTGGCCTGCAGCTGCAGGGTAATTGCCAGGGCTGCCTATGGCCCTCTGGCTCCCACATCTGGCCTGGGGAAGTGGAAGGTAGGGAGAAGGCAGGAGCAGGAATTAGCTAATCACTGCCTCCTCTCTCAGCTGCTCTTTCCTCTTCCAAAGGGAAACCAAGGAGACAGAGGGGAGAAGGGGGCAACCAAGCCAGTTAGGCAGGACTGGCAGGGAAGGTAAAATGAGACAGGCTGCAGAAAGATCTGGCTTGTGGGAGGAGGAAGCAGGGAGCAAAGGGAGAGGGGCCTGGAGAAGGACCTGAAGAAAGCAGTGGGCAGAGATATGGGTGGAAAGTGAGCATTAATAGACCAATGGGATGATGTGGAGTGACAGGTGCACTGATGGAGTTAGAAGATCTTGTCTACTGTGCATCATGTATGCAATTTGCATGTGTAAATGATAAACAGCTTTCCCAGGCTTTATGCTGAGAAAGGCAGGAGCACAGTACAGCTCATGCTAGAGGAACGTTGATGGGACTCATGGTTTAATACAAAGCTATTAATGCTGAGGATTATAATTTAATAGCATGCCTAAACGGCTTCTTTACTTACAGGGTAGACCATATATATGTCAGTAGTTAGCGGGTACCTACTGAGCCTGTTTGTGGAGGACCATTAGCATCAGATGAGGTGGATTCACCTTTTGATTTTTACTCGCGTAATCTTTTACCACAGGACCAAAGATACAGAAAGATACCACATTAGACTGCCAGTAGTATGTCCCCATGTTGGCCTTGTTGTACATTGGTATAAACGAAGGCAGAGAGAGCCTGACAGTGGTGACTTGGCTGCAACTTGTTTGGTTTGGCCACTGATTTGAAGGTGGTATTTTCCCATATAACTTGCTTTCTCTAGCAATGCCTGTGTGTATGTATACACACATATGTATACACACATATTTGTATATATATGACTTTGCCTTGTGATATGTGTAGACTGGTGTTGTCATGATGAGAGATCAGTTATTGTAATGCAAACAAATGGCTTACATGTACAAGGAGAAAACCATTCCACTGGTTTTCCATGAGCTGAGAGAAAGAGGTTTTGCAGATGCTGTTACTATCTCTGAATTTCAGCATTGCTGTTTAACTGGGAATGTGGTTTCTTATGCTGCAGACAGCAACACATACAAGGCAGACAACTCCCCCATCCCCATTTAGCTGTTGGCATCACATAGAGCTGCAATTGAAGTTAGAAAGTGGAAAACATGCTAGGAACAGTGGCTTACACAGGATTAAAGCTATCCGGAGAATGATTGAGGAGGAGAAAAACAGGGGAAGCTACAGCCTTTTATTTGATTAATCACATCCTCTCCGTTGCGAGGAATAAGAACGTCAGGGCAGTATGGCCCGATGCGCCAGGTCGAGGGGTCTCCCCGGGCCGCGTCGGGCGCTGCTGCCGCGGCCTC